AAAATTGCTAGGTTGAAGGAGATATGCTGCATTTCTTTGAAACTATGACTCCTATCATTGTAAGATATGTGATTATTTTGTTTACATCAAAAAGAAATAATATTGATGACTATAAGACCCTTCATATTTTAGAGATGTTAGAACAAAAAAGTACATCCAAAAATTAGTAATGTGCAAAAAATTTATATTTTAGTAGTGTTTCCAAGTGCCTCCCAAAGAGATTACACTAATTTACTCCTTCTTCCTCTCTCCTTGCCCACCAAAGCAAAAGAGGTCCCTGTTAATTGATACCTCTTTTGGATATTTGCTAATTGTTAGGTATATGCATTTCTACACTAATAACATATACCCCCTGTCTAATTTAGTCAAAAATTCACTGTCAATGTGCTTTTCTTAAAAAATGCGAATAGCTCCTTTTGACTATCAGATTATGATCTAATATGAAGTAAAATTTATATGCAATCACTTTTTTTTGGTCAACTACATATACATAAAACCTTTCCTGGATATACAAGGTTACTAAAAAGATCTCATTTTATATTAGAAACTGCCAAAAGAAAAATTTTTATAGGTTTTTAAAAAGTTTCTAACCTTTGGTTTCATTTTTTTGTTAATGAAAATTAAAAATTTAAGAAGATAGTTACTATCATCATTGTTGGCACATTCCCATTTAGACCACTCTTTCATTTTTTTCCCCCATGATTAAGAGATAATTGCTAATTGTATAATAAACGCGTTTTTACATGTCACTAAAGCCTCCCTGTAACAAAAAATTTAAAACATTCTGAATAGTCAACCATACTTCTATAATTTACTCAACACTTCTTTTTACTGGGAACAAAATGGAAATGTACAGAGAATTTTGGAAAAAAAAAGATAATGGAAGTGTTATAGACACTTTGAAAAGTTATTCTTTTACCTTTCGCTTTTTACGTTTTCTTCACAACATTCTTCACAGCCATTCATTTTGGTAGACTACAATAAAGAAAAATAAAAATCAAATTAGTCCATTGTAACAAAAAAGACAAAGAACCTCATGTTTAATTTTTTCCTGTGTATTATTTCCTATATTTACTCTTATTGCTCATCCTCATATCACAAAGACACATGGCATTTGATTTAATATGTATTAGTTAATATTCAACTCTTACTCCAGTCACTGAGGCACCTATCTTCAGTGGCCCAGGAATGTTGGTTGGTCCCGCTTAGTCATCTTCACACTCAACTTGGCGTTCTTTTCTTTCTTTCCATCTCTCCTTTCTTTCTCTTTGTCTCTCTCTCTTTCTTTTTTTAAAAGACAGAGTCTCACTCTGTCACCTTGGGTAGAGTGCTGTGGCATCATGGTTCACACAACCCCCAACTCTTGCACTCAAGTGATCCCCAGTAGCTTGAGCCTCAGTCTCCTTAGTAGCTTGGACTATCGGCACCTGCCACAACACCTAACTAGTTTTTCTATTTTTAGTAGAGACAGGGTCTCATTCTTGCTCAGGCTAGTCTTGAATTCCTGAGCTCAGGCAATCTACCTGCCTTGGCCTCCCAAAACGCTAGGATTACAAGTGTGAGCCACTGTACCGGCCTTTGACCTTCTTTTCATTTCTTATATAAGAGATTTTAATGACAAAGTGTGATAAAGAGAAAACAAGAGAACAATCAGAATTAATAATTATTCATATTTATATACTTGACATATACTTTTATACTACTTTAATTTTAAAATCTGAAAATGGCTGTCAAGAAAATCTTAGTAGTTTCAAATGTGTTAAATTATCTTGCCCTTTTATTATCAAAGATCAATCAGTTCACACTTCAACTGAGTATGGTGTTTCAGAGATCCAATGCAGCAAGAGCAGTTTGCTATTATTAGGAGATGCCAATTGTATTCTTAAATGGTTTGTAACTTATACATTTCAATCTTTAGCAGGATAAATTATCTTAACAAATATGACATTCTTCTGTTTTATAGCCCTCAAATATCTGCCCCCTTTCTACTTCTATAGTATCCCCTTCACTTGCTAGGCTTCAAATCCATGGGTCTTTTCTTTTAGTTCTTCAAAATTATCCATTTTTTCCTATCACAAAGCCCATCTGATGGTGGATACTTTATTTTTACTCAATCTAAGTGTCTTTTCTTCCTGAGGATGTTCCTTACCCAACCAATATAAAGTAGGTATCCTTGACTACTCTTTTTCTGTAGCACTTTATAAAAATCCAAAACTTCATAGACCTTATCACAACTGTAATTACATATTTATTTGCGTGTTTGATTTTTCTCTTTTTTTCTCCATTAGAGTGTAAGCTTCATGCTACTGTGTGCCTATATGTGCTTATGCCTGAGATGCAGAAGCTTATCTCACTTCTTAATAAGAGTGATACCTTTATTATGACCTTTCAGTTATACTTTTAGAGTTAAAAGTTATCTATAATTAAGTTATCTGCATAACAATTTTAATTTATTTGCAGTAAAGGGAGGACTTGTACGGTGAAAGGAAAAAAGTAAGTTGTTTTTACAAAATGACAACTAAAAGAAAGCTTCTTATACTTCATCTATTTTGTGAAGCTGATTATTTTAGTCGAGGTTCAATTTCTTTTTCAAGTAAAGGCATTTGGATTTCTTATTCCCCATAAGAATGAGAATCTAAGAATCTAATAAGTGTGCAATGATTTTGAAATGCACAAAGGGTCTCACTTTATCACCCTTGGTAGAGTGCCATGGCCTCACAGCTCACAGAAACTTTCAACTCCTGGGCGTAGGTGATTCTCTTGCCTCAGCCTCCTGAGTAGCAGGGACTACAGGTGCCTGCCACAATGCCCAGCTATTTTTTGTTGCAGTCTGGCTGGGGCTGGATTTGAACCCACCACCCTTGGTATATGGGGCTGGCACCCCACCCCCTGAGCCACAGACACCACCCAAATGTCACATATTTTTAACATGAAAATTTTAATGAAAGAATTATTAAATGAAAGTGATGAGGTAAAACACAATTGGAAATAAGCTACAGTGATACTTGCATTATCCAATTCCCACTCTTTTTGCAAAGTTCACCTGTGTATTGGGAGAGAGTTGGGTTAAGAAGACTGGCCTTCACTCTTTCCTTACTCTGGATTGTAGGCTTTTTGGAAGAGCAGGCAGCTGTGGTACTGTCTTAAGGAAATGATATAAGATTTTTTGTCATGGCCAGCCCATTTAAAGGTTTATAATCCTGCCACTCAAAGAATCCAGATCTAGCAACCTGAGAGTAGAGAAGATATCTCTTGGATCTAGGACCAGCTACATAATTTGTAGTGCACAGAGCCAAATGAAATAAAAGCTCTTTTGTTAAAAAATTTATAGGGCTCTTCTAAGCACAGGTGTCTGTGTGATTAGACTGTTGAATGCACAAATTACTAGACCTTTCTGGATCCTACAATCAGGAATGATTGTCCTACAGGTGATGGACAGTCACAATAAGTTTTGCATTATTCTTTGTTTAAAAAATTAAAAGCATTAAAAAAAACCCCAGAATTAGAAATAGCATAAGAATCATTCTTTCAGCAAAATGATACCATATCTTTGGAAGACATGCCTTTCTCCTCTTCATTAAGTCAGTAAAGTTATGTGGCAATAGCTGTGAAAGGACCGATTTCCTTGGCATAGAAGTCACTTCATGAACTAACCCCTAGCTTTTAAGATACCATGTGATCCCTTCTTGTAATGATTTAGTGCCCTGATTGTTCCAGGCTGATACAGGCCTTTATTAAAGCAGCGTCATAGTATATAACATTGTTGCCCATTTTAACTCACCTATCGTAGAACTTCAAAATGATAATCCAGGAGTCTTTGATAATTTTATTCACTACTCTGTGTAACTCCTACCATTTCTCTTATTTTTATAAGCCCCTCTGAACTTTATATATACATTTAATAGAGAATATCTTTTCTATAGCTTTTAAAAAGTTGCATTTACTTATTTACATGTGTATATCTCCCAAGTTGATTTCTAGACTATACAAGCACATTTAGGACAGAAACCTTGACATCTCTTCTTACCCTGTCATTCCCAGCAAAGTAAGTCAGACAAATTCAATAACAGAATGAATAGGTTTGAAACTGCAGATAATGATTTATAATAATGTAGGTGATTGGCATTCATTCTTTCATTCATAAATAAGACATTGACATTAAAGTGCTTCACTAAGAAAGATAAAATGTACAGACAATCACGATATAGAATGACAAATACAATGAATATGCAACTAACTATCAGAGGGATAACCTTTCTTTTCTAAGAAGATATTCCTATACTTTTGTGATAAAACTTTCAGGGTTATAGAATAGACTGTTAGAACCAATTTAGTTAATAATTTAAAATTTGTTTAGGGTGATCCCCAACTGATATACTTATAAAAAGCTAAGTTATTTTCAGAAGTTTTACAGCATTCTTAAAACTTGCCAGTACTAAAATGTAGGTAATATTCTGAAAATATAAGATGAAACAGAAAATTATTCTAAAATACTGGCTCTTCCTTTCGGCTATGGAGATTAACCATATTTGTCTTATTTGATTTGTCTGCTTAAGAATATTGCCATAGCTATTTGAACATGTTTAGAATCGATACAAATGAAACTTTTTCATGTTTTTTTCTAAGTACCATTTTGATTTTTTTTGAGACTGAGTCTCACTCTGTCACCCCAGCTATAGTGCAGTGGCATCTTCATAGCTCACTGCAACATTCAATTCCTAAGATCTAGTGATCCTTCAGCCTCAGCCTTCCAAGTAGCTGGAACTACAGGCGTGTGCCATGATGCCCACCTTACTGTTTTTATTTTTAGTAGAGATGAGGCTGTTCTTGCTTAGGTCTCCAATTCTTGAGGCCAAGTGATCTTCCCACCTTGGCCTCTCAGAGCGTTAGGATTACAGGTGTGAGCTGCTGCACCTAGCCTTTATTCCTTCCCTAAATTTCTTACTTTCCTTGTTTTGCTTACCATTAGTTAAAATGGATTCTAAAGCAGAAGTCTCATCTATTCAGGTAGTTCTAATTTATTATTTCTCAGGATGGACGGGCCCAAAATGTATTCTCCATGTACAAACTTACGTGATCTAGCTATACTTTTGTTGTAGGGAAAAATTATATGATATTTCCTAATAACTAGTAAAAATATTCTGCTTCCATGAAGCTTAGTTTTTAGATATGTTCTGAATAGTCTGATATGCTAATTCTTCTGTGTAAACTTTAGAATCATTTTACGAAGCTACCCTGTTTTTCCTTTAAAAAATGTTGAAATATCTTATGAGACCATATTTAATTTGTGGGTGAATCTAGGGAGAATTTAAATTTTAAGTTTTTCTATCAAAGAACAAGAAATGTTTTCCCTTAATACTTCTTTTATGTCTCTTTGTAGAATTTTAAAGTTTTCACACTACAAGACTTGTACATTTTTGAATTTATGCCTACAGCTTTTATTTGTTAACTATTGTGAATAAAATTTTATTTAATAATATTTTATAACTGTTAAGCAAAGACTGACATGAAATGAATTACATCCCCCTGAAATTAGTTTTAAATTTATTATTATTTTCTTCATAGGCATTAATAGGTTAAAGTCCTAAGTTTCCATGTGTTTGAAAACAGAGCCTTTAAGAAGATAATCAAGGTTCAATAAGGTCATAAAAATGGGGCCCCAATCCAATAGGACTAATGTCCTCATATAGTAAGAAGAAGAGACACCAGAAAGGTGCCCACACAGATGAGAGGCCATGTGAGAACACAGCAAGAAGACAGTTATTTACAGGACAAGGAGATTGGCTTCCCAAGAAACAAACTTTGCTGGCACCTTGACTTTGGAATTTTTGCCTCTGGCAGTGTGAGAAAATAAATGTTGCTGTTTAAGCTATACAGTCTGTGGTATTTTGTTAGAGCAACTTGAGCAGAATAAGGCAGACTGCAAACTCAAATGCCCGCGGGGACCAAACAAATAATATGAACCTTTAAAATGCCTAGGTGGAATGGGGTGAGGTGGGGAACAGGAAATGGCGGAGTCTCTGGAGAAGTGGTCATAGTACATAAACCACCTAAATTTTATAAAATTAATTGAGTACAAAGAAATACAAGCCCCCCTTTTCTTTCTTTTTATTTTTTTGAGACAGAGCCTCAAGCTGTCCCTCTGGGTAGAGTGCCGTGGCATAGCTCATAGCAACCTCCAACTCCTGAGCTCAAGCGAGTCTCCTGCCTCAGCCTCCCAAGTTGCTGGGACCACAGGTGCCCGCCACAATGCCTGGCTATTTTTTTTTGGTTGCAGCCATCATTGTTGTTTGGCGGGCCCGGGCTGGATTCGAACCCGCCACCTTAGGTGTGTATGGCGCTGGTGCCTTAGCCACTTGAGCCACAGGCACCGAGCCAAGCCCCCCCTTTCCACTGTAGTTTATAATAAATAAGAAACTTAAAATTCATCAGTAGATGGCCAATTTAATAAATCCTAATATAACAATGTAATAAACAATAGGAAGGCATTAGAAAGTATAAATTAAATTTATATGTACTCATGTAGAAAAAAGGTAATCATCAATTATACGAAAAGAAAATTTGGAACCATATGATCAAATTTATATTTAAAAAATACATATGTATATAATTATCTGTGTTTTTATATGCATAATGGATGAGTAGAAAACCAACATTGTTTTTTAATTTTGGGTTAAGGTAAGGGTGCATATGATCCCTTATATTTGTTAGGACAAGTCCAAGTTGTATCTGAGTCCTTCACGAAGGAGGTGTGCCAAATACTCCTACCTTATACCTGTTAGAGTGGGCATTTACTGAGCCCCTTCCCTCCTTTCTCTTCTCTCCTAGAAACCAAAGTTTTAATAGATGCTACCTAAAATGAATATAGGAATGTGTTTTAAAAAGGGACTTACATTTTTAAATAATTCTATGTGACGTGTTTTTACAATGAGGATTTAACATAATTTTTTTTTGAGACAGTCTTACTATGGCACCCTTGGTAGAGTGCTATGGCATCACAGCTCACAGTAACCTCCAACTCTTGGGCTTAAGTCATTCTTTTGTCTCAGCCTCCCAAGTAGCTAGGACTATAGGTGCCCGCCACAAAGCCCAGCTATTTTTTTGTTGTAGTTGTCATTGCTGTTTAGCAGGACCTGGCCGGGTGAGAACCTGTCAGCCCCTGAGTTTGTGGCCGGCACCCTAATCACTCAACTATGGGCACTGAGCTGATTTGGCATAATATTGTTATTATAGCCTAGTTATAAATGAGATTCTATATTATATAATAAGTTTTACCTTTTAAAAGAAAAACTATCTAATGTGGTATTTTTGAAATGGCTATTAAAGATTTTTAGTTTTTTTTTTTAGTTAAGAAACTTCTGAACATATATTTTAAGGTGTACTTTTAATGTTTTTATCAATAAAAATACAACAAAGTCATCAGTACAAAATGTTCAGAGAGCTTTTTTAAGAGCCCATTATTTTAATAATTATTAATATTCTGATAGTATAAAAGAACATCTTAAGTAAAACCTTTAGATAATGCCACATTTTGAGATACCCAATATTTGTATAATCATTTTTGTAGATTAAGAAATACATATTCAGGCTCAGTGCCCAGAGCACCGTGGTTATGGCACCAACCACATACACAGAGACTGGCAGGTTTGAAACTGGCCCAGGCCTGCTAAACAACAATGACAACTACAACAAAAAATATAGTTGGGCGTTGTGGCCGGCATCTGTAGTCCCAGCTACTTGGGAGGCTGAGACAAAAGAATTGCGTAAGTCCAAGTTAGAGGTTGCTGTGAGCTGTGATGCCAGAGCACTCTACCAGGGGCAACAAAGTGAAACTCTGTCTCAAAAAAAAAAAAATACATATTCATCAGCCATAAGCTTTCTCATATATATATAGCTCTTATTTGTAAACGGTTAATGAACATAATCATGTCTACATGAGTTTGTGTGTATGTGCATGCATGATAACTGCTATCAGAACCTAATTCATTGTAGTTTTGACAATTTTGAAAATGTGAAATAGAAAGAATAAGGATAAGGAGGGTAATTATTCTAGAGTATGAGCAAGATTAGTCATAGAAATAGGATGATGCTGAGTTTGAGGAATCGGAAATATAATTTATCTACTGTTTATTTTTTTTCTTTGTTCAGTGTCCCAGAAGATCCAAAGTTTTAAGATTTTATTTTATCTTATTTTTATTTATTTATTTTTGAAATAGAGTCTCCCTTGTTGCCCTTGGTAGAGTGCCATGGCATCATAGCTCACAGAAACCTCAAACTCCTGAGCTTAAGGGATTCCCTTGCCTCAACTTCCCAATTAGCTGGGACTACAGGTGCCCACCACAATGCCTGGCTATTTTTAGAGATGAGGCCTTGCTCTGGTTCAGGCTGGTCTCGAACCTGTGACCTCAGGCTCCTCCCAAGGGCTGGGGTTATAGGTGTGATCCACTGCACCTGGTCCCCCAAATTTTAAGATTTTAAATAAGAATTTGAAAAGTTAAGCATTACATTTTTGAAAAATAATTATTTAATTTTTCTTTCTTTTTTTAATTTGAGGGAATTTGAGTTATGATTCTTTCACTGGGAAAGGATGATACTTTAATATAAGAAATGAAATTAATCTCAATTTTCTCCCTAAATGTAATTTTTCAGTAAAATGAACAACAATCTCTGATTTACCTTCTGGATTAAGATATATATCTAACAAGGTATAGTAGTCTAGGTTGTTTATCTAGAAGTTATTCTTTCTTTTTTATTTTCTTACTTTTTTTATTAAACCATAACTGTGTACATTAATGCATTTATAGGGTACAATGTGCTGATTTTATATACAATTTGGAATACTTACATCAAACTGGTTAACACAGCCCTCACCTCACTTACTTGTCTGTTAAGACATTTATACTTTACTCTTAATAGTTTTGACATGTACCCTTGCATTGTACACAATAGCTGAGGTTCCACCAATTTTTCCTCCTTTCTCCCAGCCTCCCCCATCCCCTTAGAAATTATTCTTACTTCAGAAAAATCCTCAGGTAAAGGTGAACCATCACAGTCTGTATCTTCTGCTCTCTCTTCTGTTAACTTCCCATTTGTCTTTAATGTACCTGGGAGAGGAATAAATAGGCCAAGAAGAACTGATAAAACTGCTAAAGAAGTAGAAAATTTTTCATTAGCTTTCTAATGAAGGTAGTCTATGGACCAGTATCCATGAATACTGTCAATGTTCTAACTAGAACAGTTAGGATAAATGACACTTTATATACAGTATAAAATTTATAGTTCAGCTTAACTACTAAAATCACAATCCCTTAAGAATGGCTTATTATCAACTGGGAAAAATGATTGGACTATCACTTTTAAAAGTAGAAGCCGTGATGTCAATAATGCATTCTGAAATCTCACCAATAATGTAACCCACCTACAAATATGGAAGAGAAAAATACGAGATAACAAATCTTACTTTATTTCTGAAATACTACCCACTAATAAAAATAAGGGAAGACACCAATCCATTGCATATTTACATAAATAATGTTTCTAGAGATGGCCTTGGACTCCTTAAGAGGCCAATTTATTTATCTGTTTCATCTACCTGAAACAAAGGCATCTCCTCCTGCATTATTTTGGTTTAGAAGATTCTGGGCTTCCTCATCCACAACATCCAGCAGAGACTGGATGACTTCAGCTTCTTGAGGGTCAGCATAAATGTCATCTTCCTGTATATATGATTCTTGAAAAGCAATAATTCACATGAGGTTTTACTTTAAAAATAGTGACATAAGAAAGGGACACAGTTTGCTAGGGCTTTTCAAATTTTAGTGATGGACACTCCAATTACCATGTTTTGATTAATTTACATTGTATGCCTGTATCAAGACACCACACATACCCTATAAAGATGTATAACTATTACCTACCCATAATAATTTAAAAAATGTAAAAAAGAATGCAAAACTTAAACAAAATTTTAAGTATTCACTTTAAAAAGTAGCTATGACTGGAAAAGTAGTTTACACTAATGTGATCATGTTTAGTTCCAGTACTACTCTGGCTGCTATGACCAAAGATCATGCAAATGCAACTTGCAAAGTTGATGATATTCCTTTTCATGAGAACTAATAATTTTTTTAAATAAATCTTTTTATTTTTTAATTAAATCATAGCTGTGTTCATTAATGCAATCATAGGGTACAATGCACAGGTTTTATATACAATTTGAAATGTTTTCATCAAAACATTGATGGAGGCTGGTTAACATAGCCTTCACCGGAGAACTTACTAATTTAATGTTCATTTTCTTAAGTGAATCTCAAAGTATTTACGAAGAAACACAAAAGTTATGTTACAAAGATTAAAAATATAAATCAGACAAATCATCTTCAAGGTGTATTTTTCTAAATTATTTGGTAGCTTATAACATGCTACTCCACAAAATATAAGAAACACTATTAAATGAAACAGCTATCTTTTCAATCACTTATAAATCATTTTAAAGGCTGGGAGTGGTGGCTCACGCCTGTAATCCTAGCACTCTGGGAGGCTGAGGTGGATGGATTGCTTGAGCTCATGAACTGAAGGCCAGCCTGAGTCAGAGCAAGATTCCATCTCTAAAAATAGCTGGGCATTGTGGTAGGCACCTGAAGTCCCAGCTACTTGGGAGGCTGAGGCAAGACAATTGCTTGGGCCCACGAGTTTGAGGTTTCTGTGAACTATAGCACTCTATCGAGGGTGACAAAATGAGACTATGTCTCAAAAAAACAAAAAAAAGTTTTAGTCTCGAGATGAGAATGAATGCTGGACCTTTGTGCATTGTTCTTTTGCTTCTTTGAGTAATCTTTCCTTTTAAAGCTATAGTAACATGTAAGGCAAATGAGTGAGGATACCTACTATATCTTTATTACTTGAATTATTAGGACATTTAGAGTTATTAGATGACTGATCTGGAAAACTACCTTTGGACAGAGTCAGATTTGCTGATCCCTTCATTTGATAAGCTGAACATTTTCCTTCAGGGTACAAAACTTCAATGATTTCGTCCTCATTAACCTAAAGTATGAAATCAAAGCAAATCATTAGATTACTGTTTTATTAAACTCTAGGATTAGGGAGGGACTGCACATCGCCCCTTTCCTTTTATTGCTTATACAAGATCAATTTTATTAATACATCTCCCCACCTTTAGATCAATGTTTTTCTAGCAAATAGTACAATGAAATGTGTATATGAATGGAGATTTCCATCACCAAAAATGTCTTGAAACACTAGGCAAAACGATATTTAAATCAGTATTTTCAAAGAATTCTCACAATGCTTACTAAAATAAAGTTTGAGTTGCCAAAAGAGAAATCTATTATGTAATATTTCTTACACTTATTTGACTGCAGAAATCTCTTTTTTGAGTCATATTTTATAAGACCCGTCTTCCATATAACTAAAAAAAAAGTTTAATAGAACTACTAAAACATAAAAGTTGATGCGTCTGGGTGCAATGGCTCATGCCTATAATCTAGCACTCTGGAAAGCCGAGGTGGGGGGATTGCTTGAGCTCAGGAGTTAGAGACCAGCCTGAGCAAGAGGAAGACTCCATCTCTAAAAATAGCCAGGTTGTTATGGTGGGTGCCTGTAGTCTCAGCTACGTGGGAGGCTAAGGCAAGAGGATCACTTGAGCTCAAGAGTTTGAGGTTGCTGTGAGCTATGATGTCATAGCACTCTACTGAGGGTGACAAAGTGAGACTCTGTCTTAAAAAAAAAAAAAAAGAATTTAAAAAACCTTAGAAGTTGAAAGAGGAAAAATCATTTTTAAAAGTATTTATCTTCAAAATGAATTTCTACGTAAACACAAAGAGAACAACTTAAAGTTTAAACATAAAATTGTCTTTATGATAAATATAATTTTAAAAGACTTTTAAGGATAATTGTTAAAATACGTGCAAAAATAAAACTGACTCTGCCATCAAAAAAAAGTATTAATGGTGCTGTTAAATGGACATAGACTCCAATCTGGCAACCTGAACATCTTTTAGGTATATAGATTTTCAAATCTATTCTAAGGTACATGTTAACTTAGGAAAAATAACACTCATAATTACAAAATAATTATTGAATAGAATGTAATTTTCTAAGCAATGGTAAATTGTGAAGCATTTCATGGAATATAGCCTATTAAAAAAATAACTTGGAAAAAATGCCAAGTTAAATGATTTGAATAAATTAATTTTATACAAATAAAAGGTTGTGGTTTGCCCTGAAGATTTTATTCCTTTTATTAAGATAAAAAGGACACATGGTAGATGCAAAAGAAACATATTTTTATAAATAGTGGCAATATAATATCAAAAGCTTCAATGGATTGTGAAATTCCATTCTTATTGAGATTTTCATAGACATTAATATTCAAGGATAGAATATTATCTAATAGTCTTCCATATATATATATATATATATTTGAGACAGAGCCTCAAGCTGTCGCCCTGGGTAGAGTGCTGTGCATAAGAGCTCACAGCAACCTCCAACTCCTGGGATAAAGCAAGTCTCCTGCCTCGGCCTCCCAAGTAGCTGGGACTACAGGTGCCCGCCACAATGCCTGGCTATTTTTTGGTTGCAGCCGTCGTTGTTTGGATTCGAACGGGCTGGATTCGAACCTGCCAGCTCAGGCATATGTGGCTGGCGCCTTAGCTGCTTGAGCCACAGGCGCCAAGCCTTCCTTTAATATTTTAATTTCAACAACAAAATGTTGGCAGCCATAAACAGCAAAAGTCCTGGTTTCTAGGGTTTTAATGTTAACTTAATGAAAACACTATCCTTTTTTCTTTCAACAAGTACAGATATTTTAAAATACAATAAATGCTATATGAGATGAATAACACTAGAATACATGAAAAGTCAGTTGCTTCAGCTACATGAAATGGAAGATATTTAAAACTTCCATTAAATATCTTGGAAGTTTTTATTGGAAGTGAGAATAGTGAGTGTTGCTATAGCTCAGTTCCAACACACACAAATGCCTAGAAATTTTTGTTTTTGTGCTATAAACATTTCTGCCTTAAAGTCCGGCTGTTGCAATATTTTTTTAGGACTTGCTAACCAAGTCACATGTGTGAGATAACATAGTGAGATGAGAGGCATAGAATTTTGGGCATCTGGTCACTAAGGTATTTTTCTCCTCCTACATTAAAGATGTTGAGATAAGGTTTTAGATTACTGGGAAAGCAATCTCAGTCCTGTATTTCACATGGAAAGCCATTCCAGTAACAAGATTCAGAACAGATTGTATGGGATGTGTGTAGGAAAAAAACAATTCCATGGAATGAAGATTCAGCTATGGTCATTTTATAAATGTATATTGTGTGTCATAAAGAAAGTCATGAAAAGGAATGTTAGCCCAATAGACATAAGTAGACTTAAAGGAAGCATAAAGTGAAATTTAATTATGTATTAAAAGTTTTATTAAATCACCCCCAGATTTTTTGTGCTAATCTTAAATGATTTGTGCTCTCTCATTTTATTATATGGTGAAGTATTTTCTAAGTCTTTCAAAACCAGGTAAACCTATCTTTTTTGCCACTTCTGTTCTTCCTTATAAATCACACAGATTTGATATTTGATGGTTACTACTGATAATAAACCAAAGGAGCAATTCCACTCTTAATTATATTCGTCTTCTCTTTCTGTAGTGTAAAAGACAACCCAAAAGAAAAAAAAATACCAAAACTGTACACATTAATCAAAAATCCCAGCACTAAAGTGATTTGTTTAAGTGGTTATCTTATTTAAGAGTTGAAGTGTGTGCCAAACGACGTAGTCAAGGGTGATTTACTTAGCAAATCCTGTTAGTTCACTAAAATATATCCTTATTACTAATATATATATCTAAAAAAGACAAATATTTAAATATGAAATCAGTTTGGTTCAAAACACAAACATGCTGATTTAGATAAGGAGGGATGACACAAAAGAAAGAAGGTGGACTTTTCCTTACCTTAGAAGTGAGGCCAGGCTGACCACAAGGCTCTACACTGTGATGACCTAAAAGGATAACATAGCACATAAGGGAAGTAGGCAAATGAGCCAGGCAAAACCACAACAGAGACACCCAAATTATTAAAGGAAACCCACATTTCTGGGGATGCTGTTATTTTCATTAGTACGCTAAAAGATATCATATCACAGAGTGACTTAAAATCAAATGTTAAAGAAGGGTTTATCCCAAGGAAAAAGCCAATTTCTTAAAAGAAAATCATTTATATAAAAGGTCCATTTGGAATGAAACACTGAATATAAATTATCCCAGCTGAATGAGAGACATCACAGGTGCTGAGCTATATTCACTTGAGTTTTTAAGGGAAGATAGCAAGGCTTTTATCTCATTTTATAAAGACTATTGATGTAACACAGGAAAATAAGCTATGGATACAAATGAAAAAGACTTTTAATATATTTTTCTCTCTCTCTTCTTTTTTTTTTGAGACAGAGTCTCACTTTTTTGCCCGTGGTAGAGTGCCCTGGTGTCATAGCTCACAGCAACCTCAAACTCTTGGTCTTTAGCAATTCTGTCTCAGTCTCCCAAGCAGTTAGGACTTACAGGTGCCTACCACAATGCTTGGCTATTTTTAGATTTGGGGTCTGGCTCTTGCTCAGGCTGATCTCCAACCTGTGAGCTCAGGCAATCCACCTGTCTCAGCCTCCCAGAGTGCTAGGATTACAGGTGTGAGGCATCAGGCCCAGTCCTTTTAATATATTTCTAAACAAAATGATAATTTTAACACTTAGCTATCAGTACAGCAATTCAATATATAAACTAAACATGAGTAGATTATGTTTCTCTTACAGTTAAAAAAGTCACATATTTGAACATAATTTTTGACTCATTAAATTATATTTTCAATATATTTAGAAAAATGTGGCAGAGTTTAAAAAAGTTTAAAAGAAAACAAAGAAAGAAAGAAACAAATACAGGTAAATATATTTAAAGACTTCTATTGAGAATAACTTAAAAATGATTCTGCTAAGAAGGATGAAGGTTGAGATGGAATTATAATACATAAATCTCTATAGTTTTGTGAATATTACAGAGTCTGAGAATATTCCTTGGAAATATTCCTTGGAAGAAATACATTGTGAAACTTCTTTATTTTTTTTGGCCGGGGCCAGGTTTGAACCTGCCACTTCCAGGATATGAGGCCGGCGCCCTAAGCCTTTGAGCCACAGGCGCCACCCCATTATGAAACTTCTTTAAAAAGTATTTCAATAATAAACCACCAGTTCAAAAAATCATATTGGAATAGTGTGAAACACAATGGTTTATTTGTGATCTCTCCTTGTTTCTCTAGCTACCTCTTGACCCTCTTTATCCCCAGGCAACCACTGATCTGCTTTCTGTCATTATAATCTGCTTTATCTACAATTGTGTATAAATGGAATAATACAATCTGAACTCTTTTTTTTTTTTTTTTTTTTTTTAGTATGGCTTATTTCACTCAGCATACACATTTGGAAGTTATTTTAAATATTTTGTTACATGTGTCCAAAAGTCTATTCCTTTCTATTGCTGAGTAGTTTTTCATTGTTTAGATACATTATAACTGGTTTGTTTATTCAGCAGTTCTTGCACATTTGAGTTGTTTCAAATTTTGATTATTACAAGGATAATTGCTAGAAACATTTCTGTCTAAGTTTTTGTGTATAGCACTTACTGTCCTCTTAAGTAAACAAGTAAGAGTGGTGTAGGCATATGCTTAAATTTTTAAGAAATGGTCAAGTTGTTTTTCAAAATGGTTGTACCATTTTGCCTTCCTGTCACTGAGAGTTCCTATTATGGATACTGTAGGAGTGTTAAAACCTAAATGGAAAAATAAAGACTACATGTACTCACTATTAAACTGGACTAATCAATCAACACCCATATATACATCTGGTGGTAAAACTTAATGGAGAGCAAGCAGGTGGGAGGGATAAATTCATACTAAATGGGTATAATGCACACTCTTTGGGTGATGGGCACACTTACAACTGACTCAAACTGTACAAAAGCAACTCAGGTAACCAAAACATTTATACCCCTGTAATAATCTGAAACAAACAAATAAATAAATAAGGGTATATTTAACTTAATACACTAGATGTAAAAATTCTCTAAAAACAAAAACAAAAACACTATACCCCATAAATCTGTACAATTATGTGTTGATTAAAATACAAAAATATATAAGAATTTTTACATCTATTATCATCAAATGAATATAACCTTACCATTGGCTTTGGTTGACTTTGGAGTTGAAATGGCAGACCCCTTTGAACTGGGAATTACTGGATGACCATTTCTGTGTTGTAAAAAAAGAAAAGACAATTACAAATCATTTAAGATATTTGTTTAAATATTCTTTGAACCATCTGATAAGTAGCTTCAGAAATTTTATTTTGGATGAGCTTCAGGAAGTCCAGTCACTCCCTGGAGGTGTAGACAACATTTAGGACAGTCTTCTTCTACATATTTTCTGGAGGGAGAGACTGCTGACTCAGTTCTTTGCATAATCTTTGTTTGGGCTTCAGTTCAACACATCACGCTACTTCCCCTTCCATTTAAAACACCACTAATATTCATGATCTAATAACTTAGTTCATTGTCACTCAGTTGATAGTTCAAAGATAGTTTAACTTAGAAGTCAGAGACCATTAAGTTTTATACATATAAATACTTGGATAAGTGTTCTTTTAGATTAAAGTGAAAATCTAGATTAAACATTTATATTCAAAGCAGTATAAGAAGAACGATATCACCTCGAGTATAAAATAGCCAAAAAGACAGCACTTTGGAAATAGAGAATTATAATGTCATCTTATTGTTGCTGATATTTGAGGAAAAAGGGAGGTTGCCTAAGGTGTAAGAGGAATTAAGCCATGGGTTCTAAGCATCCCTGTATGTTCTGCTGGGCAGCCCTAACATACAAAGCCCTGATGTCTTTTTATCTGGGCTATTTATCAGGGTTGTGTTTGTAGTAACCAACTCTGAGGAATGAGGTAACCTCTCTCCCCAAACAAAAACAAGCTTTATGGCTTGGCACCTATAGCTCAACCGGCTAAGGCGCCAGCCACGTACACCTAAGGTGGCAGGCTCGAATCCCCAGCCCGGACCCGCCAAACAACAATGGCGGCTGCAACCAAAAAATAGCTGGGCGTTGTGGCGGGCGCCTGTGGTCCCACCTACTTGGGAGGCGGAGGCAGGAGACTCGCTTGAGCCCAGGAGTTGGAGGTTGCTGTGAGCTGTAAGGCCACGGCACTCTGCCCAGGGGGACAGCTTGAGGCTCTGTCTCAAAAAAAAAAAACAAAAAAAAAAACAAGCTTTCTTACAGGCTGCTGTAAAATGGCAGGTCCTGTGGCTCTTCTTACAGCAGTTTTCTTCCACAATACAACCCACCTAGTGTAGGAGGAATACACCAGGCTACATATATCATCCTGTGGGACTTAGCGGACAAGTGCAACTGACACCAACACCATGCCCGGGCTGCCTGCTGTGCATTAGTAATAAAGTCTCTAGCATCCATGAAATAACACCCTAGTTCTCGACATACAGATAACTACCACAAACATATGTTCCCTCCACTATTGGTCCACTTGGACTTTACTAAGAGAGGGCAGATATATACAACAGTGGCAGATATATACAATAGAGAGAGTCAGAAGAAGAGTGAAGAAGGGGAAAGTACCTGTAACTGCCATTATTACTGTATCTTCAGTGATTACAGTTGAGATAAAAGCAGAAGAACAAAAGAAAGTGACTTCAGGCATGGGATAAAGTGTGCTCTGCCAATTTTGAGGCAAAACATTCAACTAAACCTACAGTTAGCAGAAATATTAATTTTCACAAAAATATTTTCAAACTTGTTTAAACACTTTCCTCCCTCACTAATTAACACTCAGACCTATGAAAATAACTGTATGTCAATCCAATTTTTAGACACATACAAAGGAGTCAGGCCATGGATTACATTCAAGGAAAAAAGTACACAATCTAACTTAAAGGTTCAGAAGGAACAGATTAGTTCATTATGAATGACTTAATATCAAGTTCCCATATTTTGAAAGAAATAATTCACAAACAAAAGTGTATAATTTCTCTTTATATAACTAAGTCTGTAATCTAGAAAGCCTGGATTCATGTACATTGTGGTAGGCAGAATAATGCCCCCCACCAGATGTTTACATTCTAATGATTATATTCTAATTCTGAGAACCCGTGAAGATGTTATTTTATATGGCAAAAGAGACTTTGCAGATGTGACCAAGTTAAGGAATTCTGATATGAGTAAATTATCTTGGATTATCTGGGTGGGCCCAAGGTAAGCACAAAGGTCCTAACAAGAGAAAGAGGGAAGCAGGAAAGTTAGAGTCAGAGAAAGAGATCTGACAGCAGAAGAAGAGGGTGCTGCAATTGCTGGCTTTGAAGACGGAAGGCTCCAAAATCCAAGGAATACACAGTCTCCAGAAGGTGGATTTTCTCATGGAAGCTACAGAAGGAATGCAGCCATGCAGACACCTTGACGTTAGCACAGTGAGACCCATTTTGTATTTCTGACTTCCAGAACTCTTATGATAATAAATATGTATTGCTTCTGGCCACTAAACTTGCGGTTATTTTTCAAGGAAAATAATACGTAACATTTTCTCAATTTATTTCCATGATAATTAAAAGAAAAGTTGAGATTAGCACTTTTTATCATGTGAAACTATTATGAGGTAATAGTGGATGTGGTAGTTCCAGGTGTCCTGGGTGACAGACGAGGGGCTGCACACTACTGACTTCTTCTGAGCTCTGGGAATGGGCCACAACAGGTTTAGGTCAGTCAATACTGATAATCCCTGATTTAGGATGATTTGACTTCATGACAGTGCAAAAGTCATCCACATTCAGCAGGACCCACACTTTGAGAATGCATCCACCCATTCTGTGTTTCATTTTCAGTACAATATTTAATAAGTTACATGAGATATTCAACACTTTATTATAAAATAGGCTTTGTGTGAGATGTTTTTGCCTAATGGTAAGGTAGGTAATCTGAGTGTTCTGAGAACATGTAAGATAGGTTAGGCTAGTAAGCTATGATATTTGGTTGATTAGGGGTTTTACATGCATTTCATTGTATGTAAATAAAATATGCATGAGTTTATTGGTATGTAACCCCACTGTAAGTCTAGCAACATTTATGTATTCTTAGTCCTTCACCCCAACTCAGGGACTGACCTTAATTTAAGGTCTAAGGCAACTGGAACACAATACTTACTTTAATAGCAGTGATTGTTAAGATTTTTTTTCCCTTTTATAAAAATTTTTACTTAAAAATAAAATTCATAATACTTATATATATGTATTTATAAGGTATATGTGATGTTTTAATATAGATATATAATGTATAATGATTAAATCAGGATAATTAAGATATCCAACAACTCAATCATTTATTATTCTTTGTGTTAGGAACATTCCAAGTCTACCCTTTTAGTTATTTAAAAATACACATTATGTATAATAAATGGTTATTAACTATATAGTCACCTCATCGTGCTAACAAATACTAGATCTTATTCAGTCTATCTAGTTTTATTTTAGTGCCCATGAATCACCCCCTCTTAATCTCCTCTTCCCATTAACCTTCCTAGCCTCTGGTAACCACCACTGTACTCTCTATCTTCATGAATTTGTTTAATTTTTATCTCCCATATGTGAGTGAGAACATGCAAAATTTATCCTTCTGTGCCTTGCTTATTTCACTTAACACAATGTCCTCTTGCTCCAGCTACATTGTTGCAAATGACAAGATTTCATTCTTTTTAATGGCTGTAGAGTATTCTATATGTTTGTCCATTCATCCACTCATGTACAGTTAGGTCAATCCTATATCTTGGCTATTGTGAACAGTGCTGCAAGATACATGGGAGTGTAGATAATCCCTTGGATATAGTGATTTCTTTCTTTTGGACATATGCCTAACAGTGGGATGCTGAGTCATATGGTAGC